GAATTGATTCTCAAAACGTTAAATTGTAAACACTTTTTTGTTTCTATGGCCTGCTATTATTTTCTTTTTAATACGGAGTGGTGTCCAAACATTTATCTGTCAGCAAAATGTTGCGTTGTTATCAGTATTAGTTTGGTTTGATATTTCAATATCATATTACTTGAAAACAGTTTTGTTAATATAATGTGCAAACAATATATTTCATTGCCTTATAAAAGAGAAACAATTCATTTTTAACCTTACATATAATAAACAAACCTGTAGATAAAATCAGATAATGTCCGAACATTTTTGTGTTCGGGCTTGTACTTATATGGGCTAATAGATAGATCACCAGCACTGCTGCACTATGCTTGCAGATGCTTTACTGTTAGAAACAAATTTCATGGCATAAGTTTTTGAACATCAAAAATGAGGAAAACGTATAAATATGATTAAACTGTAACAGCAATCTACTGTTCACCACACAGCACATGCACATACGTACATGCAACATGCAAACTACATACAAATAACATTAACAAATTTTGGAGTTTCTAGCTGTGTCAAAAAATTACAGGGTCAATGGTAGTTTCTGAATATACGGGACTGTTGCACATATAGTTATTCAAATAAATTAATGATGTGATCCTGCCTATTTAAAATAGGTACTGAACTCATCTGATCTACTGCAAAAAGTCGTTAGGGACCTCTTGACAAGAACCTATAATAATCTCAGATATCAGAAAATACAGGTATTTCTGTGTTCTCAAGGTTACCATAAAAACAGTTTTAACATCTTCTATTATACAGGATAATTTCAAAAAACAACGGAAATATGTCTAGAACAGCAAGTACTTTTATACATCCAAAAATTGAATAAAAAGTTCATAAAAACATAGGTCCTGAAGTGCTAAACTACCAAGATACAGGATGTTGAAAATGTTTACCCTGCTAATGAGACTCGTCAACGGTAGATCAAATATTCTTCAAATAATGATGTGATGAAGGATTTCTCCCCTAATATTACTACATACAATTTATTTTAATGTCAGTGTATTTTCAAATTTAAATTAGAACGGATTCAGGTTTGTTATACAGATTATATCTCAATATTCAAACCATTTTTCTCCAAAAGGGGTGGTCTGACAAAATGTTCTCCTAAAATACACCTTATCTAAAAATGCTTACATATATAGTGATTCAAATAAATTAACGATATAATACTGCCTATTTAAAATAGGTATTGAACTCATCCGATCTACTGCAAAAAGTTAGGGGACCTCTTAACACGAACCTTTACTAATCTCAGATATCAGTAAATAAAGGTATTTTTGTGTACTCAATGTTACCATAAAAACAGTTTTAACATCTATTATACAGGATAATTTCAAAAAACAACGGCAATATTTCTAGAACAGCAAGTACATATTATACTTCCAAAAATTAAATAAAAAGTTCATAAAAACATAGGTCCTGTAATGCTAAATTAAGAAGATACAGGCTGTTGAAACTTTTACCCTGCTAATAAGACTCGTCCACGGTAAATCAAATATACTTCAAATAATGAAGTGATGAAGAAGGGTTTCCCCCCTAATATACTACATACAATTTATTTTAATGTCAAACTTCACTAAATGCAGTGTATTTTCAAATTAGAACGGATTCAGATTATATCTCAATACTCAAACCAACTTTTCTCCAAAAGTGGTGGTCTGACAAAATGTTCTCCTAAAATACACCTTATCTAAAAATGCTTCAGAAAAGTAAGTGGTGTAAAAATACTTTTCCCCTTCTGTATTAATTAATATATCACATTTTCTGCGCTATTGGTGTAGTAAGAGCCACACAAATTTCTATTCGTATTGGTTAAGCTATTAGTGCTGCATGTACAAAATTTTAAGTCGATACCTTATTTATTTCTGGAGATGTAATTTATTCACGATTTTGAAATTAAAAGAGGACCTTGGTCCAAAATTTATATGAACTTTTCTTATTTATGAACTTACTTCCTGTCCCAGACATATTGTCATTGTTTTTGAATCACTCTATATTTAGCAGTTCAAACTATTCAAACTTATTCAAACAAATTTGTATTGGACGGAATATCGATATTTTGCCTCCTTATATTATTATAGTATATTTTGAGTGTTTTCAATTTTTTCTGTGAAAGAGAATTGATAAAACGTACCCTCCACAGTTCAAAAATAAATGGCGCCAAGACTGGTGAATAAGTACAGTACAACCTCGATAATCCGAATACATGCTAATCCGAAATCGCGATAGTCCGAAATAATTTCGTTCCTCGACAATCCGAAATCGTATTGCGTCATACCTTGATAATCCGAAAAATCGTGTCATAGCCTGTCGAACTTCTCAGTACATAGGCTGTTAGTTTCGAGTGCGGTGCGTTCTTAGTGCCTAGAGTTAATACGCGTTTGAAATATAGTTATAATTCGTGCACCATGTCTAAGAGGAAACACAAGACACTTAGCCTTGCGCAGAAATATGAGATAATTCAGAAATTAGACAACGGACGAAGTCCAGTGCAGCTCGTCGCAGAATATGGAGTTGGGAGGTCAACCATCACAGATATAAAGAAAAGAAGACCCAAATTGCTGAATACATGAATTCTCATCAACAACAAACAACACATCTGACTTTGAAGACGGCCAAGCACCCCAATGTAGAGACGGCGTTGTACACGTGGTTCCTGCAGCAGAGGACCAAAAATGTGAACATTTCGGGCCAAATCCTGCAAGAAAAGGCGAAATTTTTTTACGAAGAAATTACGGGACGGGACGACTTTGCGGCAAGTTCTGGTTGGTTGGATAATTTTAAAAAGCGGTTTAAAATTCGTCAGTTAACCGTTACGGGAGAAAAACTTTCGAGCAATTTTGCAGCAGTTGATCCATTTCAAAAACTATTTCTAAATAAAGTGCGGGAAATGAATTTGGGTCCGGAACAAGTGTATAATGCCGATGAAAGTGGGCTATTTTGGCGGGCGCTACCCAATAAGACATTAGTACATAAAGACGAAGACTCAGCTCCGGGACGAAAGATAAGCAAGGATCGGCTTACTTTCATGCCATGTGCAAATGCATCCGGATCTCACAAATTAAAGCTGTTCACAATTGGAAAAGCTGCCAATCCTAGAGTATTTAAAAACTGTCGAAATGAGTTGCCCGTGATTTACAAAAATCAGAGATCTGCTTGGATGAATCAAGAACTTTTCAAGCAATGGTTCCATGAAGAGTTCGTTCCCTCAGTGCAAGCTCATTTAAAGCAAATCGGTTTACCTCCTCGTGCTCTTTTGCTGCTGGACAATGCACCTAGCCATCCCGAACAAAAAGAACTGCGGAGCAGAGATGGTCTAGTCTGTGTCTTATATTTGCCACCAAATTGTACCCCATTGTTGCAGCCGATGGATCAACATGTCATTCAAGCTATTAAAATGCACTACAGGAAGCAGCTTCTTCTTCATTTAATTGCTGATGATACCGAACCTGCAGAAGCAATAAAAAGTTTCAATTTAAAAAATGCAATTTTTAATCTCCACACGTCGTGGGAGAACGTCAGCACTGAATTAATAAAAAAATCATGGAAAAAGCTTTGGCCTTTAAATATCCATGAAAATTTGGGCGATGAATACGATGACGAAGAAGACTTGATGCCATTAGCAGAACTAAGGAGAAGAGCGATATCAGATGAGCGAGAATTTGAAGAAATGACGGTTCTGATGAATGTCATCTCATCAGGACCGGATCTTGCAGCGAATGAAGTTAGAACATGGGCCTTGGGCGACGCAGCTGAAAATGAGCAAATAACATTTTCTGATGAAGATTTGGTAAACATTTCATTAAGCGGCAACAACGATGACACCCCTGAAGACGCTGAAGATTATGAAAATTTAGCAGTTGTGAGTCACGGTGAAGCCGTGCGATGTTTTACTATTTGCATAGAGTGGGCGACAGAGAACAGTGTAAGCGGTCCAGAACTGCTAATTCTTCGCCAGTTACAGGAAAAAGCAGTGAATTTACGCTTTAAGGCGCATAAGCAAACTGTAATAACTGATTTCTTTACCCAATAGATTTATGTATACATAATTATGTATGTACTGTACTCATATAAATACATATGAATGTTAATTTAAGTTTTTTTGAAGGAGAAAGTTTAATTTTGTTTTACGTGCAGTATTTAACTGACCACTGTCCTTGGTTTGTTAATTTATGTTTTGTTGAAAAGAATAAAGTTTATTTTTAATACTTGTGTCTACATTTATTATTTTCACTAGTTTCACGATAATCCGAAAATTTGATAATCCGAATGCTCGGTGGTCCGAATCTATTCGGATACGAGGTTGTACTGTATAGGCCTATTTTATTAACAAATTTCTGCTGGCTGTGGACAGTAGACACAGTTCACATACAAATGAGTGACACTTCCTTGACTATTCTTGAGATCAGCTGAATTTGATGGTTGCAAACAAAATCATTACTAGAAGATGCCAAAAATGCTAGCATGATAAAGAGTTTTTGCATGCCCTGAGCTTAGAATATCATCCTGCCTCTGGAGGTTAGGCATTTTTTAGATTAAGATTAACCTTTATTTATCCGACGTTCGCGGATTGACAAGAAAGTTCGGTCACGTTTTATTGGTATCCGAAATAAAAAATCAAATCCGTTTGCCGATTAATTTGAAAATGGAGTTTTAACTATTTTTAAAAACACAGTTTTGACTAGGTCCTTTTTCATTTTTGTCAATTTTTGCATGAATCAGTAACAAATGGGATATTATATAATAATAAATATAAAACAAGGAAATGTTATAAAAAGCTATATATGCAAGATTAGCAATTATACACATGTTGTAACATGCAATGCTTGAAAAAATTGCGTGATTTCATATTATCATATCACTGACACACTGCACTGTATTACAAGTCATCGTGAATAATTAGATAATTATCTATTATTCCTTACTTTCATAAATATGTTTAACACATCCACATTTTATTCCAGGTGGAATACAGTTTGAGGTGAATGTTGTCTGAAGTACCTGAGATTTCTATTGGAGGCACATACACACATTGCGGAGGTGTGGGCAGCTCAACTCTAGTGTTTTTTAGATCCATAAACATAAGATGTTCGCAAGAGGGTGCCAGGAAGGGGGGGATTTTTCGAATATTTTCTTAAATGCATCTTGATAATATTTTTAAGTTTTTATAACATTTCAATAACAAAGTCCAATCTGGTATTTTAATCAGTCACTGATTAATAGTGCCAGCAAAAATATAAAACTTTTGTTCAGTGTTCTGGCCAATAAGTACCTATAAAAATTGCAACAAATTTTGCAACAACTTCGCCATGTATAACAATGAAGCTACAAGGTTTTTTTAGCACTGCGAAAGAGAAGGACGTGAAACTATTGCATTGAATGCAAAAAGAAATATATTTAGCACCATCTTCCCAAAAGTACTTTCATGCTCATGTTGCAATTGCCTATACACGGTGTTTCAGAAGACATTCCACTATTTATAGGGTAGAAAGTACATCCAAAAATAACAAAAAACTTCCTACAAATATAGATCCAAATATGCTCCCTTCCCTCATACAGTGAAAGTGCCTAAATCAAGGTCCAACGGGTGGTTCAACAAATCGTGCGACACTGCTCGTCAGCAGAAGATCAAGGCACATAAAACCTTGTTACAAAACCCTACTGTAGAGAACACACAATCCAACGTCGAGTCTAGCAACAAGTATAACGAAGCGGTCCACAATGCCAAAGACCAGCACGATATAAAAGTTAGGCACAGGGTAATGTAGCAGATTGAAATAATTTTCTCACATAGTAGCGTTTCACCACTTACGTGTCAGGGTCAAATGATTGTAACCGTCTAACGGGGCAGTGGTTGCCAAGATCTTTGCTACCAACTCCACCATGGACGTCCCCCCAATGCCCTAGTTCCGTCGATTCAAAGGGTTCCCGGTTCCCTACACTATTCGAGAGGTAACCTTCAGGCATAAGACCGTGAGACAGGTGCTCTTCTCGCTCGACATCAACAAAGCTTCTGGTCCGGACATGATTCCTGCCATTATTTTGATGAGGTGTGCAGCGGTGCTTGCACCAGTTCTTTCGCATCTGTTCCAGTTATCTTATGATTCCGACAACTCCCCAGAAAACTGGAAATTTGGTCGTCTGCCATCCATCCCAAAAAAAGGAACTAAAACCGACCCTCACAGCTACAGGCCTATAGCTCTGCCATCTGTTATAAGTGATGGAGAGGTGCATAAATCGAGAGCTTCTAGACTACCTCTAACGTCACTGCTTGATTAGCGCCAGGCAGTATGGTTTCCGGCACCAACGATCTACAAAGGACCTCCTAGCTTACGTTACGTAGTTGTGGAGCAAACATATCCAGTCTTATGGAGGGGCTCGTGTCGTTGCTGTTGATATCACAAAAGCGTTCGAACTACTGTGGAACGCTGTCCTCTTATGCAAACTTCCATCCTATGGCCTTCCAGAAAAGGCCCGATGGATGGCCGACTTTCTCGCTGGCCGCAAGATATCCGTCGAAATTATCGGTTTCTCCTCTTCATCCCACAACGTCAACCCGGGTGTTTCCCAGGGATCGGCCTTGGCTCCGACACTGTTTCTCTTACATACCAACGACCCACATGCAGGAATTCAGAGTGATAAACCAATCTCGGCCGGTGAGCTGGAAAAAAGATGACTAGCAGCAACTTCCTCTCTGACGAGAGATCTGGAGGTTATTACAGCTTGGGGACGCAATAATCTTGCACTGTGCTATAGCGATCAAAATTGTACTAGCGCTCATTCGGTTTCGATGGATGGCCGAGTTCTACCGAAGGGCCATTTATTTCGCCTGGTCGGAGTCCAGATCACCGAGGACTTGATCTGGCACGAACAGATCTCGTCAATAGCGGTAGCTGCTGGGAAAAAGCTAGGCTATATGTTTAGGGCTAAGAAGTACTTTTCTTTGTATGGCCTTATCACTCTATACAAGCCCCAGATAAGACCTAGCCTGGAGTATTGCTCACACGTGCTGGAGCCCCGACTATATTATTTATGCACGATGCTGTACTTCGTACATCCAGAACAGGCCGAAACGACCGCTCCTTTGTCCCGAGGGTATCGATATTGTGGAACAATATATAAGAGGGGGATTTTCCCATTCTTACTAATATTAGGCTGTTCAAAAATCAATGAATGGCAGAAAATTATAAAGACAGACTTTTGTAATTTATCTAGACTAAACTGAATACTTCAGAAAAAACATGGCAAAATAGATCCAAATCGTCATAATTAAATTAAATCTACATAATTAATTATATATGAAAGGATGCTGTACACTAGGATTCGAACAAATCGTTCGGCTTGGTCAGGGCGACACAATATTGTTGTCAGTGTTTTCTTGAATTCAGAACTCTTTATAATTGAGTTGTTTATGCATTATTTGCTTACTTACTGCGCAAATGTGACGTAGTATATCACACTACAAAACACATCACACCTCCAGTGCTAGCCAATCAGATTGCTCTGATAAATCTCGCTAGATTTAGCTATTTACACAGTTATTTATTTATTTATACGACTGTATTGCGCCGAAATTATGAAAGAAACAATGTATTCCAATGTAAGTGATCCTCCAATCAAAAAGATCGTTTCAAGGAAAATCGACGTCTGGGGCTGTTTTGCTTAGAACGTACACATTGCAATCGGATTTGTGCAAAACTAGAGTATCTGTTACGCAGGAGCATTTACGTTCCTAAAGTTAGCAGAGCAAGGTGAATGTACTTACCTACATATATCGGGTGTTCCAAATTCGACCTTCACCTGGGATCTCGGAAACCGTCTGGAGATCCGAAGTCGCTTAAATGGGGGCAAAGTCCCGAATTTAGGTAATCGACAAAATGCCGCTTAAAAACTTTGGAAATTCAAAGATAGAAGAAAAAAAAACGAATTTTCCAAAAATCGTTCTATTTTTGCCTAACTGTAGTTGTAGTGGGATTTCAAAATAAATTGCACATTAACATACCCACTTTATCTCCTTCCTCTACGAGTTGGCATGATTAGAATTTCAATATGTCGTTTCGTCCCTTGTACTCTAGCATCAACTTTATTATTTCTTATGGACGACACATTGCATTTTTTCACACATTAATAGAGCTTTCAATTCCGATTCTAAAAATGTATAATATGTCACATAAAAAACAGAATTTTATAGGTAGGCCTTGACCTATAGATACCAGATTTATCGCAAAATAATTTTTTTTCTGACTATTTGAGCTGGGATTTCAAAATCAACTGCATGTTGTTATCGCGATTTTTTCTCCTCTATATAATGGCGTAGTCAACTTTTCAATTAGAGGCATCTTTTTATGATTACCTTCACCAACTTTGTCTTTTCGTATGGACGCAATATAGGAATTTTGTACATTTAAATGGACATTTTAGTCCTAAATTCAGTGAATGAAAATTGTACGGAAATAAAAAGGTATAGTAAAAATCATAAATAAGCAGATGTTCAAAATGTGATCGGTTATTGTGTAGGCAAAACCTGACTCTTCTGGGTACATTGTTCACAGCTCGGTTTACTTCCTTTCTTCTCAGTCTACCAAACTATGTTCAGTTTGAGGTCTGATCTGGTGAACGAAACAAATGAGTATCTGAGGCCTACCAAGGAAATTCTGTTTTTCTGAAATAACTATGGTTTGGCAATGTCATTGTGTCATTATGGCGTTATTAAGAAAAAATAAAGTTGATGCTGGAGGACAAGAGACGAAGTGTCATATTGCAGTACTAATTATGCCATCTTGTAAAAGAGAGAAAGTAGCAATGTTAGTGTGCAATTTATTTTGAAATTCCACCACAAATAAAGTCTCGAAAAAATTAAAACGATTTTGGGAACAGTCGTTTTTCCGTCTCTCTTTGGAAATATTTTGAATTCCGAAACTTTATAGGCGGCATTTTGTTAGTTACCTAAGTATGCAACTTTGCCTCCATTTAAGCTACTTCGTCTCTCTTACCGTTTCCAAGATCCCAAAGGTAAGTGTCGAATTTGAAACCGGTATATTAGACCGAATATTGCTCAAGACTACAATTGACGTGATCTACGTATCAAGTCACCATTTTGAAAAGCTCGGATCTGGTCAACAACCTTTCGACATAACTGCTAACATAAAAATAGGTGAGTCGCAATGAGTACGAGTACGTATGTTTTCATAATCAATAGTTCTATTTCTAGCACCGAAATTGTTATATTCACCACTATGCAAAATTAAGCGCACGTAGGGACATTTTATACCTACCATGATTTGTTTAATATATTTTAACAATTCTAACTCATTGCTTATCTGTCTGACTCCAGACTTTTTAACATGAGCGGCGATGAATAACAATCCTAACGTGCCGTGCGAACATGCAATGTAACGTGTATTGCAATGCCAATGCGACGCAATAATCAATTGAAAGTTTGTTCTGCCAGCCTAAGTAGCAAGTAGCAAAAGTGAGTTAAAACAGCAATGGCTTCACAATCAAAGGAAAGGGTGCCGGCAGCAGCGGTGACGTCGTGGTAGACGTTACGAGTCTATTAATCAGCCATCGTGCGCTGCGCGGTTTCGAATCCTTCAAAAGAATTTTTCTCTTGGCTATGGAAGTCGTGAATGTGCGCAGGTGTTAGACGGTCTCTGATTATCGAACTTGCAGGTATCACCCGGTGGGCCTCTAATAGGTCGTCTACACGGGCCATAATTTTCGGCATTTTGTAGGCGGCATCATGGCTCGCAACTTACCAACCACATTCGGCAATATAACCAAAATATTGCAATATGGCCGAGCAATATATCCTGGCATTTGTTTAGTGCGGCAATACTGGCCGGCAAGTGTCCGAGAGATCGACCGCTTTGCGAATTTTCAGCAATATGGCTCAGCCATCTTTGAATTTGTCTCGCTTAGCTTGTTTAGCCGCGCGTCATTCGAGTGTTGTTTTGTGGTGAATTTTCTTAATTTAAAATGACTAATTGGACTAACGAAAAGACTTTACATTTAATTAACGCTATACATTTACGTCCAGAATTGTGGGATGTTGACAATGTTTTGTATAAAGATAAGAATCGGAAAAAAGATGGCTGGAATGCAATTGCTACTGAACTTGAAATATCAAGCGATGAAGCCTACAAAAAGTTTCGCAGCCTGAGGACCTACGTTAAAAACGAAGCTAAAAAGTCTTCAAAGAAGAGTGGAAGTGGCGCTAATAGTAAAGATAGTACTTGGTTCGCTTTTCAAGCGATGCAGTTTATATTAGCACGTGATACACCAAACGATGGTATGGACACTGAAAATATGAGACAGGTAATTGTGTTGTTTTATTTGAAGGTACACACCTGTTATTTCCCTTCACTGTATTTACGTTGACTTTAAAATTGAAGCACCATTGAAAGGTCATCTTGTAAAATGCAAAATACAATAATTATTATTTGTATACTATCTATTACAGTTTAATATACAGTGTGACATATTTATCGGGGAATAACAAGTTGATGTCCATTTAGGTACATGTCTTGCCATGGCACTCTTCCACTGTCAATCATAAAATAATTCATGAATTCTTCTCGTTCTCCTTTTGCTATCGCTGTTGCATTTCTACCGACTCTTTGCAAATTTGGTAATTGCTTGCCATCGTTTCGCCACGATCCTGGGATAATCCTACCAGCATCAATATCTTCCATATCAAAAGTTAAAGTTGGCGAATATCGATTTAGTGTATTTCTGCGTAAAAAGTTGTGTAAATAATCACAGGCTAGCACTATATTTTGTAGAGTGTCTAACTTTAAATCCAGTTTTCTGTGGAAAACTCGAAAAACCGAAGCCAACAAACCGAATGCATTTTCGACAATTCTCCTGGCCCTTGATAGTCGATAATTAAATACACGTTTAGCAGAGCCTACGTTCAAATCAACGGTGTACGGCTTACAAATATTTTCAGTTAACGGAAATGCATCGTCTGCAACGAAAACATAGGGTTGTTGAGTTTGTCTGTGAGGGAGGTTCTCTAGCTGGGGTAAATTTAATGTTTTGTTCATTAAGCGTTTTCCGAATGAAGTATGTCGAAAAGCGCCTCCATCAGATATCCGTCCTTGGCATCCCACGTGAACATACTCGTATAAGAATCGGTACTGAGCATCTACCACAGCAAATAATACAATACTGTAATAATGAAGGTAATTATAATAATTGCTTCCACTATTGGGAGGACAAATAATTTCAATATGTTTTCCGTCCATTGAACCTAAACAATGTGGGAAGTTCCACCTTTCCTCGAATGCTTTAGCCACATTAAGCCACTCTCTTTCTGATGTTGGTATCTAAAAAAAGTAAAAAAATAGCTAATGATAATATACAGCTTGTCGATACCTCTATGGAGGTACAGTGCGTTTTTTTAACGATATCATTTTAATCGGCAATAACTTTTTTATCTTTATAGATATCGAAATGAAACAAAAACCATATTGTGTAGATAGTTTATGTTTTTTATTGGAAAAAAAAATAAAACAAAACACTAATGTTTTTGGAGGATATAAACCTAACTTCTGTATTACATATAAATTTTCTTCTCAGGCTGTACATCAAGATTCTGATGTTGACCAATCTGAAGAATCTCAAGAAAGTCCAGAACCTCAAGAGAATACTGATACTATGGAACCATTGCCAAAGCCGGTAAATGTCTCTCGAGTTGTAAAAAAGAAACCATCAAAATATATACCTAATCATGAAGCTGCTTACGCCGATGCCCTTAACATAATAGAAGAATCGAAAAGTAACCGCAGGAACCCATATTCATCATTCTGCGATCACATTGCAACTAAAATGAATTCTTATGACAAGTTGATTTGCAATGAAGTCGAGTTCAAAATTAGCAAAATATTATATAAAGCTGACAAGAAAATGCTACGCAACTCCAATCCTGGAAGTCGTATGGCTTGCGCATCATCTTCTAGTGAAAATACAAATGACGATTACATTAATGCGAAGTTTAAGCTTACTCCTCTCGCAGCTAGCGATAGAAATTCCGGTCATAATATTGTTTCGCCGCAGACACCATACTCTATTTCAAGCGAAAATATAAATTCAGATTACTCCGACTTAGTTTCTCGACCAGCTAATATAGAACAGGATGCAAGGACGACCGAACATATTTCGATTACTTCCAACTATCGTACACTGGTGGAATCTTACTGCAGCGAAGATCCTCCCCTGTTTCAATCTGCAGAAACTCTCACAAGGCGAAACTAAATGAAAAACACTAGCGAATTTATCTAGCTATTGTCTTTTATTAAGTTAGCATATCTTTTGTTTCTGATAAAGTAATATAAATAAAAATATTCACTCACCTGAATAAATTCTTTTAATCCTATCACCAGTGCTCTGCATACTTCTGCGATTATCAGTGAAATAGCTGAATCAGACACCCTAAATAAATACATCAAACTTTTGAAGCTCTCACCAGTTGCCAAGTATCTTAGTGTTATAGCTACTCTTGTCGTAGTTGATATCGCTGTTCGCATGCTGGTATCCTGCTTTCGAATATTCGGTCCAATTCGATTTAGTAAAAATTCAAAATCAATTTATTTCATCCATTCTCGTAAAGTTTTTGAATAAATAATTGTCGAGAGATAACTCTTCACTTAGATTTTGTAAAGTAAGCCTTTTACTTAAATAAGGCCTAACCCACAACTTTTTTCTTTTTTTAGTGTTCGGTTTTTGATTTGATCTTTTTAACACAATAATAGCAGCCGCAATAAGCACTAGATCATCCATGGTGATAAAGCAACTATTTGTGTGAATGTTGTCTAGTGTAAATGCAAATTTGCTATGGCCAGATGTTGCAGAACGATGTCCGGACATACTCGTCCAGAATGTGGCCTGGCAATATGTAAAAATTCAGTTGCTGGGCCATGCTGCCCGGCTACATAACCCGGCAATGTTTTCAAAAATCTGTATTTTCTGTGGCCCGTGTAGACGACCTATAAGGCGGAGCCAGAATGTTTGCATTTTGCACGCACACGTCTTTCCTCGCGACAGGCAGTGTGGCGCCGCCCCCCTTTCCCTGTATCCTCCTATAACTCCACGGTACCATGGGAATTTAGGCCTGAGGCCTTTGGGGTAGTTTAAGTATAAAAATATAAGCATGGGTCTACTGATTCTCTGGGATAATTCTAAATTCATAGTCAATTTAGTTGGCTCCTAATGGTATTTTAACGGGACTGCAATAATTAATGATTGCCAATTATGTATATGTAGGCTCTTTTCAGCACTAAAATGGTAGCCAACAAAATAGCTCAGCTAGTGAAAACAGCAGGTCCACAGTTACATTATGGGATTGTTCAACTCGCGATGTGATATCAAGCTTTGCTGAATTCCCTCTAATAATGGGACGTTTTTTAAACTGCTCGTTTTTATCTTGATGTTATATAAATGTAGTTCAAAAATAATAACCTTGATTTTTTCCATATATTGGTGTACCATAAGTGCCCACAAGTTTTCTGGAAAGAGGATATCTTTCAAGAAAAGTTGATGAAGGAAATCATAAAAAGATACCTCTAATTGAAAAGTTGACTACGCCATTATATAGAGGAGAAAAAAATGCAATAACAACATGCAGTTGATTCTGAAATCCCATCACAAATAAAGTCAGGAAAAAAATAAAAATGATTTTGCGATAAATCCGGTATCTATAGGTCAAGGCCTACCTATAAAATTCTGTTTTTTGTGTGACATATTATACATTTTTAAAATTGGATTTAAAAACCCTATTAATGTGTGAAAAAATCTAATGTGTCGTCCATAAGAAATTATAAAGTTGATGCTAGAGGACAAGGGACGAAACGACATATTGAAATTCTAATCATGCCAACTCGTAGAGGAGATAAAGTGGGTATGTTAATGTGCAATTTATTTTGAAATCCCACTACAACTACAGTCAGGCAAAAATAAAACGATTTTGGGAAAATTCGTTTTTTTTTTTCTTCTATTTGGAAGTACTTTGAATTTCTAAAGTTTTTAAGCGGCATTTTGTCGATTACCTAAATTCGGGACTTTGCCCCCATTTAAGCGACTTCGGATCTCCAGACGGTTTCCGAGATCCCACAGGTGAAGGTCGAATTTGGAACACCCAATATATGTAGGTAAGTATAATACATTCACCTTGCTCTGCTAACTTTAGGAACGTAAATACTCCTGCGTTACAGATACCCTAGTTTTGCACAAATCCGATTGCAATGTGTACAAAAATCTGCAATTGAAGTTGCACATACCTCTTTCATCTTCTGGCCTCCCAAAATACTGAACTGCAAAACGATGTATTAGCGCCGAAGACAGTCTAAAAAGCATTACTGATACTGGAAGGTAATGTCCGAGCAATAAATTATAGATAAAAGGAACCGCATTCTATAGAGGCGCCTGGCTTGATTGAGTTGTCTCCAGTGGCGGTCGGCTATTGCTGTTGATGAGGTGCAGGTTTAATTAAATTCTCAATACGGTGTGATTTTCAAAGCAGATTACATCTTTATTTGTACTATATATGTTATATGCACTCAAAACAATGGACTTACTATTCCATACAATGTTGCACCAGACGCTAGCTCAGCAACAGATAACGACTTCTCGCTAACTCGTTGTTTACGCTTTATTTTCTAGAAGTGCTTTGTAAGCACACCAATAGTATAAATAGGCCTTGCGCCCATTTCATGTTGTTCAATATCCGGCTAGGCACCGTAACAGTCACTTATATAAACTTTATGTTCATACCCGGTTAGACTCCGTCAAGTCAAGTAATTGCAAACGTTTGTAACGGACAGTAGCTACTGTCCTCAAATAAATTTTTTAAAAAGTAAAGTTGAATTTAAATGATATAACAATTGGTGTCCGAGAAGTGGGATAGCTTCAACGCATTAGAACACGCGAACGCTCACTAGTGTGGTGGATGTCTATCCTTCGAGCTACAAAGGACCATGAGCCTACAAGTAAGAAGAAGAAATAAGAAGAAAGAAAACGACGAAGAAGAAGCAAAGAAGAAAGAAAAGGGCACAGCGAGCAGCAGCCACCCAACTGCAGAGAGTCTACTTGGAAACATCGAAAGAGATCCGAGAGCCTCCTCTGGAGAACACGACTGCCTCCTGATGTACCACCGGTAACGTACAATTGAATCTACTATCGTTTGCAATTATCTCTGTATTTTTCTATATTTTTGCGTATTTATTGAGTGATTTTCATATTTTGCGCAACATTTTCTATATTTTTCACATTTACTTACGACCTTTTACGTATTTTCTATAAACTTTTACATGTTTTCCCATATTTATTCGTATATTTTGAGTACTATTGTTGAACCTTCCTGAAACATATTTCCAATCACCATGTCAGAGCACGGATCAGATGATTACCAAGCACCTGAAGTTCTTGATAACGCTCATGCAAACATCGAGCCTTATAGAATGTCCGAAACATTTTCAATCGTCCCTGAATACGATGGCAACCCGATATTGCTTTCGACTTTTATCAACGCATGTAGAACAGCGCACCAAATGGCTGTCGAGGAACAGCGTCTCCTCGTCGTCCTACATATAAAAAATAAACTGCGCGGACGAGCAGCAGAACTCGTCAATTCCCGTAACCCTTCGACATGGGAAGATATACGCTCCCTCCTTGAAACACATTTCGGAGATCTTCGAGATCTCACATCCTTAATTGCTGATCTGCAGCATATGCGTCAACTACCAAATGAATCCCCACTAACCTTTGCATCAAGACTTCAAACTCACGCGGCGAAGATGCATTCAGCCGTCAATCGACAAAACATGAACCGAGAGCAGAAAGCTGCTCAAAGTTCATTACAGGACTAGATTCCAAAATTGGCCCGATTGTAAGATCAGGTCACCCAACAGATATCCTTACTGCAGTCGCTTTTATCAAGCGCGAACTACAACTATCATATCTTGAGAGACCAAAATTTTCTAGAGCTCCTAACTCTAATCAAAATTCTTCCATTAAGAAGCCAGGTCCGAGAGTGTGCAATTTCTGCCACCGACCAGAACATTTAGCAAATGAGTGCCAGCGAAGACAACAGCTCTCACAAAATATTCCGAGACCAGTTTTCCAGCCCCAATCATTTTCGCCTCGAACTAACCCTAACCCTCCAACACAAAACAATAGGCCCCCCCAGTTCCAATCAGTACCATCACAGACCCTCTGTTATTAGGCCAAATGGTCCTAATACGAATATACCAAGACCTTCTGTTATACAACAGAATCCGAGGTTCCAAAACCTCAACTTCGAAGAACCGTTTGTGCTTACTACGGATGCAAGTGCCTTTGCAATATCCGGCGTACTTTCCCAAGGACCTATTGGTAAAGATCTTCCGATAGCCTATGCATCTCGTACACTGTGCAAATCAGAGACGAGGTATTCTACGATTGAAAGAGAACTCCTAGCTATTGTTTGGAGTGTAAAGCAGTTTAGACCCTATTTGTACGGTCGAAAATTTAAATTGGTCACAGATCACCGACCATTAACTTGGCTTTTTTCTTGCCGTGATACCGGTAGTAGGTTAGCAAGATGGCGCCTCAAGTTAGAGGAATACGACTATGAAATAGTCTAAAAGCCAGGCAAAGCCAACAAGAATGCCGATGGCCTATCCCTCATTAAACTACCTACGAATGTTAACGCCCTTAACCCTAGTGATGAAGAAGGTTCTTCTACTCAATTTTTCGAAAATGAATTTGATGTATTTGCCCGCCTTTATAAAACCACCTCTTTAATAGACTAGTCCAAAATTCAATTTTCTAACTCCCAACTTCTAGACAAAAGCCACAAACACATAGTCACATTTTTCAGACAAAATAAACTTTCTGATCTTCATGAAAAAATCATCGAAGACATATTCGAAACCAATCTCGAATTTTCTGCAGACAAAATTAACATCGCTTCTAGTCAGACTGTCAAAGATAGGAAATATTATATAATTCCCGTGCCGTACGATCCTGCGACTTGCGTCCAACATCTCTTCACACTTATTTTAACTAGCAAAAGTATATTCAAATTATCCCAACAAACCTACGTCGAAAATAACCTAGATCTGCCCATCCAAGAAATATTTTCTTTCATATTTTCCGACGAAAATATCAAAATTGTCATTTGTCAGAATGTAACTAAAACTCCAAGCCCTGATGAAATTCCAATCATTTTAGACCAATACCATTGTGGTAAGAAAAATATCCACAGAGGTATTAACGAAACTATCAGACGCATCCGTGAACGATACAATTGGCCCGGTTTGACTAAAG